ATTTCCTGTCTGGTCTCTAAACATAAAAATACAGTGTTTTACGTATCATAGCTTTGGATACTACAATAAACGAAGTGAGGTAAAATGTCTCATATTTGCAGCATTTATAGCGGATTGAAAGCACCGGAGGCACACTGCTGATGGGATGTCACAGTGCTGGTTTTGAGTAGTACTGTATTTCTTCAGGGACAGGAGAAGGAGGGCTGTCCAGCTGCTGATCACAGTGCTGATCATATTCACTGTCTGCTTCACACCCTTCCACATCAGACAGGTGAGTGAGTGACGGGTGGACTTTTGTTTTAAAATAAAAAGAATAATCGTAAATTATAAGACGTAGAAGTATTAGAAAGTATAATATATTATTATTACACAAATTAAAATGAGAGCACATATCAAGTAGCACTGAACCCATACACAAAATGGAGGTACAAGTGCAAAATAAGATCAATAACTAAATAAAATAATATGATGCCTTCCCCCGTTCATGTGAACAAGCCCAAGAACGAGGCTGGACTGAGGGCTGGGAGGTATTGTTAAAGAAAACGCTAGTGCGCTCGTTTTATAGGCCCCATAACGCGGAAGATCCGACCATTTTTATCTGACTTCTATACTCTGAAGTCAAACTGTTTTGCTGCCACTGAGCAACGATCACATACAAGTAGACATTGCTTTATTTGAAGCAAGCCAATAAGGTTGGGAACTACTGTGTTATCAAGATGAGTAGGTGATTATGCAATATATGTTGCTGCTTTTATACATTTTTGGACAAATATAACAACCTTGTGTGTGATGTCATGGCTGAGTTGTCTTATCGTGTTGCAGGTGGTGGTGTACTTCCATCCTGACATGCCTCACCATGTGATAGCCTACCACTTGACTGTCACTCTCAGCAGTTTGAATAGCTGTATGGATCCTGTCGTCTACTGTTTTGTTACGAATAATTTCCAGGTAAGACTGGAGTACTTTACTTCATCCCAGCATCCTTCCTCTCTGTCACCTGTCCATCTATTCATCCAAACTTCCCTCCACGCAGAATTTGTCCACCCATCGCTCATTTAATTGCTTATTTACTCATCGATTCACTGAATAATTTACAGCTGGTTTCTCCCTCAGGCCACCATGAGAAATATTTTCCGCCGTGCAGAGCCCGAGCCGACTAGCGGCGACATCATCAGCATACAGCACAGCTCCAAGGCCTCAGGTGGGACGGCGAACGCCATCACTAATAATACAATCATCACGACCAAGATCCCCACTACACTGCAGAGAGACAATCTGGAGAAGAACCAAACACTGTAAAAGCCTCTTTCACATGGGGTGAAGAAAACTGAGAGTTACTAAGATGTCACAGTCGCCTGGAGAAAGGTGGCTGATATATCTGGACTCTGTAAGATGCTGACCAGTGATAACAGCTTCAGTGTATAGGTCAATGTCACAGTGCTAAGAGCTCAGGATCAACAGCCAATGATTATTATAATAATATAAAAATAAAAAGTCAAACAAATTCAGCTGGTTCAGCAACCTAAAAAATTGTATTACTTGTATTAATTATGACGCTGACAACAGACAGACATATTTAGTCTGTGGGAAGATCTCCCCAAGCTAGACCAGTTTGCCACCAAATTCAAACAATACAACAGGATACAAAGCTGACTTATGTGTAGTATTACTTGAACCATATAGTGACAAAATGCAAAGTCTCATTTAAATAATCATATTTGATGTAATAGTAGTGATATATTTTACCTCTAAAGTGTCCAGATTGCACTTTTCTGTGTCAAATCTTTTTTTTTAAAACTGAAACAGTTTCTATTTTGGTAACATAGCAGGGATAGTCTTAACTGTTGCAGCACTATGTAACAGGTTTATTTCATACTGTTTGTAATGCCTAAATAAATCAACTGCCACTGCAAAGACAGCCACTGATATCTGTGAATTCTGTTATGCAGAATATCTAGTAATTGGCCAGGACAGAAGTGCTGGTATTCACAAAAGGAGATATTGTTGACCCCCCCCCCCTGATTCCTGCCTGGGACCTTTGCATTATTTTGATTAGAGGGGAACATGCACTGTCAAACAGACTTGGATCAACTTCTTACTGCAATGCCTGGTTGTGAACAGGAGGGAATTCAACATTACACAATTGCAACACAATGTAAAACAGAGCACACCTGTATCTGTTTACCATTGGGAAAGATATTGATACGTTTTGTTTTGCTTGGATTACACGATGAGCACCTCAGAAGATCCACTGCAAGAGTATTTGGGAAGGTTCAGCACTTTTGTGCAGCAGAGGGCAACACTGCACTCCCTTTCAAGGATTATTGCAGTATGAAACTAAAGAAAATGTTTTCACTCAAATAGAAACCGCTTGGATGACTGAAAGCAGCTACAATGTGAATGTTTGGTCAGTAATAATATTCTTTCATTATAACAAATTATTTTTTTATATGCTGTTAAGAAAACACTTTGTAATTTTCTGTCATCAACAATCATCGGATCAAGTTCTAGTGAATGAGTCGTCAATGTAACAACGTTGTAGTGAAGCCGGCTTTGTCTGGTTCTGCAAATAGTTCTGCCTGTTTATTAAAATATAAAACCACGTTCTCATAAGTCTTCATTTTATATTTGAGGAATGAGTTTTAGAGTTTTAAAAAAACAACTGCAACCAATAAGTTGATAGATGCTCAATTATCATTATTATTGAAATATAATGCCACTTTTCAAACTATTAAGACTTATTATTACTATAATTATTATTTGTATATTTGTGATATTACAGTTTTTCTCGGTCGCTTTGGTACATTTCTCATATCCTATAAACCTATACAACAACAATGACAATGGAATTGAGGTGATAGTGCAAATGGAGGTAATAGTGCAGTATGACTGATTAATTGTTCATCAGAGTGACGGCCAGTGGAAAGAAGCTGTTCCTGTGTCTGGTGGTTTTGGCGTACTACCAGAGTTAAACAGCTTGTGTCCAGGGTGTGGAGGGTCTGCAGGGATCTTTCCAGCCCATTTCCTCACTCTGAAGGTGTACAAGTCCATGATGGAGGGCAGGCTGGAGCCAATAATTCTCTCTGCAGACCTGCGTTGTAGTCTGTTTCTGTCCTGTTTAGTGGCCGATCCAAACCACACAGTGATAGAGGAGCAGAGGACAGACTGGATGATGGTGGAGTAGAACACAATCAGCAGCTCCTGAAGCAGGTTGAACTTCCTGAGCTGGCGCAGGAAGTACAACCTCTGCTGGGCCTTTTTCCTGACAGTGTCGATGTTGGAGGCCCACTTCAGGTCCTGGGAGATTGTGGATCCCAGAAACCTGAAGGTCTCCAACGCAGACACAGTGCTGCTGAGTATGGTGTTGGGGGGCTCCTCCTGAAGTCCACTGTCATCTCCACAGTTTTGAGCTTGTTCAGCTCCAGGTTGTTCTGACCACACCAGAGGACCAGCTATTCAACCTCCCTTCTGCACGCAGACTCATCACCGTCCCTGATGAGGCCGATGACCGCTGTGTCGTCTGAGAACTTCAGGGGTGTGAAAGTGGGCTTATCAAACCGGCAGTAGAACACATTCAGGTGATTCTCCTCAGTGTGGGAGGGTGGTCTCCTATAGTTGGTGAGTATCCACAGACCTCTCCAAACTGACGAGGGGTCGTTGGCTGAAAACCTGTTTTCCAACTTTTCAGTGTAGCTCTTCTTTGCTACCGTGATCTCCTTCGTCAGTGTGTTTCTGGTCTGGTTGTACAGGATTCTGTCCCAACTTCTGTAGGCCTCCTCTTTAGCCCGACGAAGCTGCCTGAGTTTTTCAGTAAACCAGGGTTTATTGTTGCTGTATGTGCAGAAGGTTTTTAGTCGGCACACACATGTCCTCACAAAGACTGATGTATGATGTCACAGTGTCAGTGAGCTCATCCAGGTCTGTGGCAGCAGCCTCAAAAACACTCCAATTAGTGCAGACAAAGCAGGACTGTAGCTCCAGCTTTGCCTCGTTGGTCCATCTCCTCACAGTCTTGGCCACAGGCTTTGCAGATTTTAGTTGTAGGTCGGGAGAAGATGAATTAATGATGTCAGGTTCAAACATGTCAGTGCCATCAGAATGATAAGTCATTGTGTAATTGTTTACAAAAAAGATAGTCAAAATGCTTAACCATGTTGTCTCTGTAAGTATTTTCTGATGTAAACAACGGTTTTGATGACAATGAATGAAAATGAACACGGCTGCATGTTTTTCTGTATGGCTTATCAATATCAACGGTGACAAGTTACAAATTACTGTATGCGGAAGATTGATTGCAAGAGATTGGACATAATTTACATTTACGCCTTTACTGTTTGTACTGTCAGCTAATTTGTTGACAGGACTGTTTTACAGCACTGCATAGCACAAAGGTCCAAAATATGAAATTAGAAAAACACCCCATGGGCAGAATTGTACATGCAGCGCTGTTTGGGGAATTACAATGCAGTCTTTCTACACATGCCCCTTTATGAGTGAAAGTCAAGATTCATGTGAGGGCAATTTATTTATCTGGGACACATTAAAAAAAAAGTCTAATAGAAATGTATATAAAAATTAAAATAAATATATGTATACACATGACTTATGCAATTAACTAATGCCTAGATGTTTGTGTGTGTGTGTGTGTGGGGGGGGGGGGGGGGGCAAATCTGATCAACATGACACAAACAATTGATAATGTATGAAACAGACAATTGTTCAACAATTTGCACGAATGTGCCACATCATTTGCAATTTGGTCATAAATCTGAGAAATCTCTTTTATGATGTGCACACGTGACTAGGTGAGGTGGAGGTTAAACAAGTAGTTTTGACAATTTACATTGTGACCTGTGAAGTATACCAGAGCAGAAAACATAATAAATGTAAAGTAAACCACCGTCATCGTGAGTCCCCGCCCACCGTAGGTGAGTAGCTCGATGACGCAATACGCGTCGTCTAACGACCCCTCCTCGCTTTGTTACTGTGGAAACCAATGAGATTGATGAGTGTCGTAGACCAAGTGGTCATTCAGTTAGCCAGATTGCTACAATAGCTAACCCAAAACAAATAATTCTGATGTGACGTTGTCGAGATTTGACATAACGCGGAACTGCTTTTTTACTTCACCTCAGCGGAGTAGAACCTGAGGTATGTTACATCTTAATATCTTTGATAGCACTGCTCTCTCTTAACTTGCTAACGTGCCTAACTAATGTATTAGCCAACCTAGCTCGCTGTGGTAGCCACAAGTCAAACAGTTATTGCAAAAGTTAACGTTAATGTATCCGGAGTGGTGTGGTGTCTCCAACTAGCGCCATGTGCACCATCCTCACGCGCTAAAAGATAAATAATAATGCTCTTAGTTATTAATTACGTAGACTGTAGAAAAGGTCGGTAGGTGACTCAGGTAAGTCACGTCAGCGATACTGTTAGCAGAGCTGCACCCGAGCTAAATATGTATAAGAAATTGTGTATAAATTGTGTATAGAAAAAGTATAAAAAATATTCAACAACACTACCAGACACACACACACACACACACACACACACACACACACACACCGTGCATTCCTGTGGAGATCACACATGACATGTGTAGACTGCTCACTACGCGCAGCGACACGTTACTCTAGCGCACAGTTGCACCACCACAACAGAACATCTACAGGAGTGTTTCGCATCTGTAGGAAGCGTTTTAACGATGTTTATTTTGTTTAAACGTTAACGTATACGTGACCCAACCTCTATTTGGATAACCTGCAACAGACTGAAAGTTATTGAGTAAAGACGAGAGAGAAGTGGGGATTAACGATATCCCCCAAAATCAGATTTACCAGTTTGAATTATTAACAATTGGTGTCGTAACTTGCCTTTGTCATGCCTCTGATGAATTAACCTGCATGGTAATCTCAGATAGTTACGGTGTGGCAAAATTGCGTGGTCCTTTGTTCCTTTATTCTGTTATATGAGGTCCATTCAATCATTAAACGTCTCATAGGCAGAATGGTAGCTCTGTGTAATAGCATGTTAAGTTATATATTGAGTCTTAATTAATTGCCAGTGTACTTCATTGGGGCAGGGCAGCATTTTTCTTAAGCCAGGAGGATTTTTGTCCCCCATCATGTGACCCAAGTGAAAGATTTTAACACACTGGAGCTTTCTAGTACTTGTCCTTTGATACCCTACTAAAAAACAAAGTCATATTAAAAAATGTGCTTTGCCAGTCTTATCTGTCAGTATCTGTAAATTATGAATACCAAATTCAGAAAAATAAGTTAAGACAGAGACTGTGAACACCAAGGCAATGCAACCCCTTGTAATGTTTTACAGCTTTAGCTTACTATCTAACTGGTGTCTTGTTTTCTGCAGGTTGCTGTGTCACTCAGTGGGTCTCTGCCAAGAAGTTACCACATGCCTTGCACCGGAGGTGCCAGGAAGTGCGCTTACATGCATACGCAGACTTCAGCCGAGCAACACTCTTAACCTTACACAATTCAAATACTGCATGCACTCAACCGCTGACACACACACTGACCGAACACATTCACGGACCCATTCCAACCCTTCTCACAGTTTACCACACACAAAGTTACTGGATCCCTCTGCTCTTCCTGAAGTTAGAATCTACAAGCAACAGCGAGGCACACAATCGCTCCTGAGCTGCACAACTGGTGACATACCACATACCATGTGATACAATAAGTGGAATATATTTTTACCACATCATTTTTGGACATAGTAATCTCATTAATAATGTTTCCTTCCTCCTCAATTATTTGCGATTATTTGAATCCACAATGTGCCGACCAGCAGAGATGCTCTCTGATTAATCTTGTCTTAGACAGTGAGTGATCAAGACCCTGGACGTTACATGTTGCATCAGCATATAATAACATAGTGCAGTTCTGCGTTCATATCGAAAATAGTAGCAACAAGTGTTTATACGCTGATTATAAACCAACCATCAAACAAAATATACCCATTAGCGGACTGTAATGGGAGGAGAAGCAAAAAGGGAGGCTTGTGGCCTTCCGGAGAGGAGGAAACCCAAGGAGGAAGCCGAAGAGAGAGAGAGCGAGACGGAAGTAGGAGGAGATGGAAGGGGTATGCGGATCCCTCTGCATCGCTGGGTGATGCATGGGGCGGTGATGTTTGGACGGGAGTTCTGCTACGCCATGGAAACAGCCCTGGTGACGCCAGTGCTGCTGCAGATAGGTAAGGAGACGCAATACAGTCGCATACAGACAGACATTGATACATCTGTGGCAGTGTTCACCTGGTTAGTGTGAGGACATTGGCTGACCCACGGTGTCAACACCGTGGAATTTGACTGCCCTTAGCCAGACTGGACCTATTGATTTCCCTGTCTTCACCACTGTGTCATGTAACCCGTCTGCCCAGCAGTAGCCAACCAGAGGCTATGTAGTTAGATGACAGGTTTGCCACCATAGCAGAAATGGAACAAAGGCATTCTCCACTGGCTAGGTATGACAAGAATGTCTAACACAGCACATGTTAGTCTGTTTTCCTCCCTAGTCACAATATTGTAAGAAAGATTGTTTTAATTGTAAAGATTGTTTCTGAGAGCATTTTTTAGGTGTTCAGTTTAGCTTGGTTACTATACCAGTAATCTCTGTGAAAAAATGCACAGTCAGTTAAATTTGTAAAATATATATATATATATATATATATAAAATACCTCAGC